AGCTGGAATCTCAGTCTCTCTGAGTATTCGCCTGTCTTTGCTTTCTAACCCCACTAACCTCCAGAGCCCCATGTAATGTAGGTTCATGCTCCCAGAGCAGATCTCCAGGGCTGTGTTCAGCCACCCCAGGCTTCTACCCCCTCCCCTCTATGTTTCTCTTCCTCCCACTGGTGAGCTGGGGTAGGAGGACAGTTTGGGTCCTGATGGATCGCAGCTTTGCTACTTTACCCTTTTCCCATGAGGTCTTCTCTTTTCCCCAGATGTAGACAGTCTGTCACATCTTCTTTCCAGTCGCTCTTTCAGGATTAGTTGGGATGAGAGGCCTCAGTCTCTCTCTTTATGTTTTAAATATTGTTTTTTTTTAAGTAGTTTTTAGGTTCACTGCAAAATTGAGGGGGAAGTACAAAGATTTCCCATATGCCCCCTGCCCGTACACATGCACAGCCTCTCCTGTTATCAACATCCCCCAGGAGTGTAGAACATTTATTACGATCGCTGAACCTGCAGGGACACATCATAACCACTTACAGTCCATAGTTTACCTCAGGGTCCATGCTTGTGTTGAAATAATAAGGTTTGTATTTTGGGTTGCACATTCTTTGGGTTTGGAAAAACATATAGCATGTATCCATTATGATGGTATCATGCAAAGTATTCTCACTGCCCTGGAGTCCCTTGTTCTGCCTATTCATCCCTTCCTTCCTAATCCCTGGCAACCACTGATCTTTTACTGACCGTAGTTTTGCCTTTTCCAGAATGTCATTTAACTGGAATTATATAGTGTGTAGGCTTTTTAGATTAGCTTCTTACACTTAGTAATATGCATTTAAGGTTTCTTCATGTCTTTATGTCTCTTGATAGCTCATTTATTTTTAGCACTGAATGATATGCCATTGTGCAGGTACACCACAATTTATCCATTCACCTACTGCAGGACATCTTGGTTGCTTCCAAATTTTGGCAATTATGAAGAAAGCTGCTAAAAATATCCACGTGCAGACTTTTGTGTGGACGTAAATTTTCAACTCTTGGGTAAATACCAACAAGTGTGGTCACTGGATCATATGGTATGTTTAGTTTTGTAGGAAACTGCCAAAATGTATTCCAAAGTAGCTGTACTATTTGCATTTCCCCCAGTGATGAATGGGAGTTCCTCTCCAACATTTGTTGCCAGTGTTGTAGATTTTGGTCATTCTAGTAGATGCATCTCATTTTAATTTGCATCTCCTTGATGACATGTGATATGGAGCATCTTTTCAGATGCTCATTTGCCATCTATATATCTTCTTGGTGAGGTGTATGTTAAGGTTGTTGGCACATTTTAAATTTTGGTTTTTTGTTTTATTGTTGAGTTTAAAGAGTTCTTTGTAGATTTTGGATAACAGTCCTTTGTTAGATATGTCTTTTGCAAATATTTTCTCTCACTCTGTGGCTTATCATCTCACCCTCTTGACACTGTCTTTCACAGAACATAAGTTTTAATTTTAATAAACTCCAGCTTACCAGTTTAGTTCATGGATCATGCTCTTGGCATTGTATCTAAAAAGTCATTGCCATACCTAAGGTCATCTAAGTTTTCTCCCAAGTTATCTTCTAGGAGTCTTATAGTTTTGTGATTTACATTTAGGTCTGTGATCCATGTTTAGTTATTTTTGTGATGGATATGAGATCTGCATCTAGATTATTTTTTAATGTTTTGTTTCACATGTGGATGTCAAGTTCCAGTACCAGTTATTGAAAAGACTGCCTTTGCTTCATTGGACTGCCTTTGCTTCTTTTTCAAAGATCAGTTGACTGTATTTATGTGGGCCTATTTCTGGGCCGTTTATTCTGGCCTAGTGATCTGTTTCTCCTTTCACCATTACCACACTGCCTTGATTGCTGTAGCTTTACAGCAAACCTTGGAGTAAGGTAGTGTCAGTCTCCAACTTTGTTCTTCAATATCGTGTTGTTTATTTTGTTTTTTTATCTCTATATAAGCTCTATAAATAGTTTGTCCATATTCATAAAATAACTTGCTGGGATTTTGATTGGGATTGCATTGACTCTAGAAATCACATCAGGAGGAACTGACCTTGACAATATTGAGTCTTCCTATTCACGATCATGGACTATCTCTCCATTTTTTAGTTCTTTGAATTCATTCATCAGAGTTGTGCAGTTTCCACATATAGATCTTGTCCATATTTTATAGACTTACACCTAAGTATTTCATGTGTCTGCTAATGTAAGTGGTACTGCGTTTTCAAATTTCAATTTCCGCTCATTAATTGCCGGTATATAGGAAAGCAGTTGACTTTCATGTATAAACATGTATCCTGCAACCTTGCTATAATTGTTTATTAGTTCCAGGAGTTTTTTGGTCTTTTCTTTCATCTATTTTTGCTACTCAGACAATCATCTATTTTTAATACTTGGCAACTTGTGAAGAAAGAGTTTTCTTTCTTTTCAGTCAGAGTATCTTCTATTTCCTTTTTTCCCCTTACTACATTAGCTAGGACTTCTAGTACTAAGTTAAAAAGCACTGGTGAGGTGGGATATTCTGGCCTTGTTCCTGTTTCAGGCTTTAAGTTTCCCACCAATAAGTGTGATGTTTGCTGTAGGTTTTCTTCTAGATGTTCTTTATCAAGTTAAGGAAGTTCCCTTGTATTCTTAGTTTGCTGAGAGTTTTTATCATGAATGGATAATGTTTTTTCTGCAGCTATTGATATATTTATGTGACTTTAATTTTTTTATTTTGATATCATTAATGTATAATTACTTGAACATTATGGTTACTAGACTCCCCCCATTATCAAGTCCCCCCCGCATACCCCATTACAGTTACTGTTCATCAGCATAGTAAGATGCTATAGAGTCATTACTTGTCTTCTCTGTATATAGTGCCTTTCCCGTGTCCACCCCCCACATAATGTGTGCTAATCATAATGCCCCATTTTTCCCCTTCTCCCTCCCTTCCCACTCACCCTCCCCAGTCCCTTTCCCCTTGGTAACTGTTAGTCCATTCTTGGGTTCTGTGATTCTGCTGCTGTTTTGTTCCTTCAGTGTTTTCTCTGTTCTTATACTCCACAGATGAGTGAAATCATTTGATACTTGTGTTTCTCTGCCTGTCTTATTTCACTGAACATAATACACTCTAGCTCCATCCATGTTGTTGCAAATGCTAGGATTTGTTTTCTTCTTATGGCTGGATAATATTCCATTGTGTATATGTACCACATGTTCTTTAGCCATTCATCTACTGATGGACACTTAGGGTTGCTTCCATTTCTTGGCTATTGTAAATAGTGCTGCAATAAACATAGGGGTGCATCTGTCATTTTGAGACTGGGCTGCTGCATTCTTAGGGTAAATTCCTAGGAGTGGAATTCCTGGGTCAAATTTGCTGAGCTTTTTTGCATCTTCATTCATGAGAGATGTTGGTCTGTAGTTTTCTTTCCTTATAATGTCTTTGTCTGGTTTTGTTATTATGGTAATCCAACAAGTTAGGGGGTATTCTCTCTCCATCTATCTTCTGAAAGGTTTTGTAGAGGATTGATATAATCCTTAAATATTTGGTAGAGTTCACCAGTGAATTCCTCTGAGGATGATGCTTTCTATTTTGGAAAGTTACCAATTACTGATTCACTTCCTTTAGTAGAAACAGGCCTGTGCAGATCATCTGTTTCTTCTTCTGTGCATTTTGGCATATTGTGTCTTTCAAGGAATTGGTCCATTTCATCTGGGTTATCAGATTTGTGGGCATAGAGTTGTTCATAGTAATCCTTTATCTATTTAATGTCTGTGGGGTCTGTAGTGATGGCTCCCTCTTTCACTTCTGTTATTAGTAATTTATGGCCTAAAGGCTTAATAATCTTATGATCATTCTTTTTTAATTATTACAAATGTTCCTCACTGGGTTTTCTGACAGGTGTACATGCTTGTACCATGACCCAGGAGTACAAAGAAATTGCCACCATCTCCCTGTACCTCTATCCCCCCCTAGGTACTAATGTTAGTAGGGCTGGGGTTCCTTCCACCCCTCTCCCAGCTCTCACACAGACACATGAAAACAATCTGAGGGACTCCTTTCTGCTGTCTTTCTTTTATACAAAAGGGCTTGATAGCATCTACACATTGCTTTTGTAGCATGGCATTGTGCTGTGGCCATCCCTCCAGGTTCGTGAGTACAAGTCTAGCCTCTCGTTGAGGGCCATGTAACCCATGCATGGGTTTTGCCTCATGGTGCTGGGCTGTTATTCTTCCCACTGGTGTGGACACCAGTGCAAAATCTGAGAGATGTTGACAGGCGCAGAAAGAACCACAGCTTCTTGTGCCTCGGAACCCAGGTTCACCTGCACCACATTTGGGACTGGGGCAGGGTGGTGAGTGGGAAAGGGACCGAGGGGACCTGCCACTTCCAGCAAGGCTGGGGCTTCTGTCCTTGGGTTAGAGTCTAAGTCCCTGTCCCCCCCAGTGTTCAGTGTTCCTGTTTTGGCTCTCTCCCCTTGCTGGCTCTTGAGATGCACTGGAGAGGAGCACAGATATGCCAGGCTCTCAGGTTGGGGCAGATCCTGTTATTTCTGATGCCAGCTGTTTTCCTAACTCAGGATTTCTTGGTTTGAAGGCATCAGTGTGCTCATCTACAGCAGGGGAAGAAGGCCTGCAAAGTCCAGGGAAGGTCTGAGGGAGCCTGCCCCTTTCCTCTGAAGCTTGGGATCAGTTATGGTGTGATGGGCACTGATAAAGACGGGGTGGGGGTTTGGAGTGGTCCAAGGCTCACAGGAATGGCATTGTGACCTGCTGTAGGCATGCCATGCTGTTCCTCAAGCTTGGCCCACCAGCGCCAGCAGCCACCGAGGGCTGGCAGGGCAAGAGGTCATGGTGGAGACCTTGACCCTGACAACACCCTGGCTGATCTGGTCATGTGTGCACAAGGCCCAAGCTGTTTCTGCTCAGAATCAGGGGCAGGGAGGGGGCTTGGGCCCAGCTAATGATGTGCTCCCCACTCTTCTTTGCAGCTTTCTGTATGAACCCAACAGCCAAGGGTATAAGTACTACCGCCAAAAGCTGGAGGAGTTCCGAAAAGCCAAGGCCGGCCCCCCAGGCATTCCCATGGCACCCGACCTTGGCCTGAAGCGCAGATCCCCTTCTGAAACTCTGTTGGGGTCTGTGCCCTCCACTGCTGTCTGCCCTACCTCATCTGCCCTCTCACCTGCGGTCCCTCCAGCCCCACCTGCCACTGGAAAGCCTGCTGCCACAGCCACTGTAAAGAGGAAGCGAAAGAGCCGGTGGGGGCCTGAAGAGGACAAGGTGGAGCTCCCACCTGCTGAGCTAGTGCAAAAGGATGTGGACGCCTCTCCCTCACCTCTATCAGGTAGGGCTGACTTCTTTCACTGAACATGTTTTCAAGGTTCATCTGTGTTGTAGCATGTGTCAGAATTTCATTCCTTTTTATGGCCAAGTACTTCATGGTATAGATGGACCACACTATTGTCCATTAATCAGTTGATGTACATACACTTGGGTTGTTTCCACCTTCTGGCTACTGCTAATGTTGCTGTGAACATGGGCGTCCTATAAATACTATTTGAATCCCTGATTTTGATAGTCTTGAGTAGATAACTAGGAGTAGAATCTCTGAGTCATATGGTAACTGTTTATCTTTTTGAAGAACTGCCAAAAAGTTTTCCACAGCAGTTGTACCACTTTACTTTCCCTCATGCAGGGCACACAGGCTCCAATTTCTCTATATCTTACCTCTTTATAATAGCTGTTCTAGTAGGTGTAAAGTGAAGCCACATTGTAGTTTTGATTTACATTTCCCTAATATCTAAAGATGTTGAGCATCTTTTCATATGCATGTTGGTCCTCTGTACAGCTTGTTTGGAGAAAAGTCTATTTTAGTTCTTTGCCCATTTTTAAATTGGGTTGTCTTTTGTTTGTTGAGTTGTAGGAGATCTTTATATAGTCTGGATTTTAACTCCCATTCAGATATATGATCTGCAAATAGTTTCTCTCATTTCATGGGTTGTCTTTTCATTCCCTTGGTAGTATCCTTAGATGCATAAGAGTTTTAAATTTCAGTGAAGTTCAGTTTATTTTTTCTTTTGTTGCCTATGTTTTTGATGTCATGTTTAAGAAACCATAGCTAAATCCAAGTTCATGAAGATTTGTCCCCATGTTCCAAGAGTTTTATAGTTTTGGGACATTGATCTATTTTGAGTTAATTTTTTCTATAATGCATAAGGTAAGGATCCAACTTCATTCTTTTGCATGTAGATATCCAGTTGTCTCAGCACCATTTATTTAAAAGATTGTTCTTTCCCCATTGAATGGTTTTGGCACCCTTGTCAAAAATCAGTTGACCATAAATGTAAAGGACTATTTCTGGGCTCTCTCTTCTATGCTGGTTTGTATGTGTATCCTTAGACCAGACCATACTGTTTTGATTGCTTTGTAGTTAGGTTTTGGAATCAGGATTGTGAGTCTTCAAACTTTGTTCTTTTTCAAGCTATTCCAAGTCCCTTGAATTTTCATATGGAGTTTCAGATGGGCTTTTCCATTTCTGCAAAAAATACTGTTGGGATTTTTATAGGGATTATATTGTGTCTGTAGATCTCTTTGGGTAGTATTAACATGTTAACAATATTTAATGATATTTTAAGTCTTCCAGTCTGTGAACATGGGATGTCTTTCCATTATTTAGGTCTTTAATTTCTTTGAACATGGTTTGTAGTTTTCATTGTACATGTCTTACACCTCCTTGGATGGATTTATTCCTGAGTAATTTGTTCCTTTTGATTCTGTTGTAAGTGGAATCACTTTTTAAATTTCCTTTTCAGATCGTTTGTTGCTGATGGATAGAAATACAACTGACTTTTGTATGTTGATGTTGTCTCCTTCAACCTTGTTGAATTCGTTTATTAGTTCTGGCAGTCTTTTTGTAGCTTCTTTAGGTTTTTCTGCATATGATTATGATCATGTCACCTGCAAATCGAAATAGTTTTACTTCTTCCTTTCCAGTTGGGATGCCTCTTGTTTATTTTTCTTGCCTAATTGCTCTGGCTGGGACTTCCTGTACTATGTTGAGTAGAAGTGGTAAAAGCTGGTATCCTTGCCTTGTTTCTGATCTTAGAGGGGGAAAGCTTTTGGTCTTTCTCATTGAGTTTGATGTCAGCCATGCGTTTTTATGTTGAGGACATCCCCTTTTGTTCCTAGTTGATTGAGTGTTATTATGAAAAGGGTGTTAGATTTTGTCAATTGCCTTTTCTGTATCAACTGAGACGATCATGTTTTTTTCCTTTATTCTGTTACTATGGTGTGTGTACACTGCTTGACTTTCTTACACTGAACCATGTGATATTGTGATCTATAAGAAAAATATATTTAGTCACTAGATGACCGAAACATATTTCTCATGTGTATTTAGTCATCAGCCACAGTTCCTGGCTCACAGCTCCCAAAACTCACAGAATTTCCTGAGTGATAAGGGTTCCTTAGACCCAATTCCAAGGTATATGGTGGGGGTACAACAACAAGCAGTTCTCAGACACCAGCAGGGGCCCTAGAATTCAGCTCAGTTCTGACACTGTACATCTGGAGACAGCTTCAGAGGACCGTTGCAGATCCCAGGCTGTGTCACCAGGGCTTCCAACCAACCTGCCACAGATTGGAGGTTCCAGCAACCTCCTCCTCAGTGTTCAGTTAATTTGTTAGAATGGCTCACAGAACTCAGGGAAACATATACGTCCATCAGTGTATTAAAGGACATGATAAAAGAGAAGAATCAACAGCCAGATGAAGAGATACGTAGGGCAAGGTGTGTGGGAAGGACATGGAGCTTCTGTGCTCTCTCTCAGAGTGTGCCACTCTCCCCAGTCTCCACCCATTTACCAACCTGGGAGCTCTTGGAAGAAAAGGACCAAAAAGCTGTCCTCTTGGGTTTTTATGGAGGCTTCATTGCATAGTCATGATTGACTTACTCATTGGCCATGGGCCAACTGAGCCTCCAGCCGCACTCCCCTCCCCGGAGGTGTGGGGCGGGACTGGAAGTTCATCCCTTTAATCACATGGCTGGTCCTCCTGGTGACCGGCCCCCACCTCCCTCCCTTGAGTGGGGTCCGAAAGTCACCTTCATTAATAACAAGACACCGTTTTATCTTTATGGCTGTGAAGTGTTCAGGGACTGTGGGTGAAGACCAAATACATCTGAGGAATGAATTTTAGTTATCTGAATGACCAAATATGTTGCTCTTATAAATCATCCTATTGCAGGGAACACCTTTTGCTGTATTATTTGTACTCTTGTCCTCAGTTCCTGAAATCGCTTCAGAGTTGCAAAGGTGAAACGGTTGTCTTATTTATAACAGGCCCCTTTCCACCATAACCAGGCTTCTGTCAATGAGGTGATTTTGGAACACCTGAAGACAGGGGCTAGTTTGCCAGGGGAACCAACCAGGAATAGAGCATTGGTGCCTTCAGTCCCACCCCCTGATTTCCAGGGAAGTGAAAGAGGCTGGGAGTTTGAGTCACCAGTGGCCAGTGATTCCATCAATTATGTGTATGCAGTGAAGCCTCCATAAAAACCCAAAAGTATGGGGTTTGGAGAGCTCCGGGTTGGTGAACACATGGCGATACAGGGAGAGGGGTGCACGCAGAGCATGGAGGCTTCCGGCCCTTTCCTCACACCCTACTTTGTGTACCTCTTCTATCTGGCTGTTCCTGCTTATCCGTTTATAATAAACCAGAGCTCTAGTACGTAAAATGTTTCTCAGCGTTCTGTGAGCTGTTCTAGGCAAATAATTAAATCCAAGGAGGGAGTCATTGGAACCTTCAAACCATAGCCAGTCAGTCAGAGGCACAGGTGATGACCTGGGCTTGGCAATTGGCATCTGAAGTTGGGGAAAGGGGGAGCAGTCTTGTAAGAGTGACCCACCCCTTAACCCATGGAATCTGGCACTGTCTCATACTAGTGTTACAGTTGAATTGATTTGTAAGATACCCAGATGGCATCTGAGAGTTGCCTGCTGGTGGGCCTCCCCCACCTTTCACTTCTCCACACCAGTTAGAATTGGTATCAGAACCCTATTTAAACCATCTTGCATTCCTGCGGTAAAACCCTCTTGGTTATGATGAATAATCCTTTTAATATGTGGCTATATTCAGTTTGCTAGTATTTTGTTGCTGATTGCTGCTTCTGCATTTATAAGGAACGTTGGTCTGTAGTTTTCTTGTGGTGTCTTTGTTTATCTTTGGTATCAAGATAGTACTGATTCATTCAATCTCCATATCTTTGTAAGTCTGTTGAGATTTTCTGTTTCTTCTTGAGTTAGTTTTGGTATTTGTGTTCCTTGGAATTTGTCTACTTTATCTGGTTACCCAATTTGTTGGTGTGTACAGTTTCCATAGTATTGTCTTATCCTTTGTATTTCTGTAAAGTCATTAGTAATAGCCCCTTTTTCATTTTTGATTTTAGTGAGTCTACTCTCCTTTATTCTCAGGCACTCTATCTACAGGTTTGTCAGTTTTGTTGATCTGTAAAAAAAAAAAAAACAACTTTCAGTATCATGGGTTTTTCTCCATTGTATTTCTATTTTCATTTATCTCCATTCTAATCCCTGTTTCTTTCCTTCTACTATTAGTTTTTTTCTTCTTTAAGGCATATTATTAGGTTATTGATTGGAGACCTTTCTTCTTTTTGAATGTAAGCATTTACAGCTATAAATTTCCCTCTTGGCACTGCTTTTGCTGCATCCTGTAGGTTTTGGCATGTTGTGCTTTTGTGTTCATTTATCTCTAAGTATTTTCTAATATCTCATGTGATTTACTCTTTGACCAATTGCTTGTTTAAGAGTGTGCTGTTTAATTTTCACATATTTGTGAGTTTTCCAATTTTCCTTCTGTTACTGGTTTCTGGTTTCATTCCATTATGATCAGAAAAGAGACTTGGTATGATTTCAGTCTTCTAAAATATACTAAAACTTGTTTTGCAGCCCAACATAATGATCTATCCTGGAGAATGTGACACGTACACTTGAGAAAACTGTATTCTGCAATTGCTGGGTTGTATGTTCTATAGATGTCTATTAAGCCTGGTTGGTTATAGTATTGTTCAATCCTCCATATCCTTATTGATCTTCTGTCTAGATGTTTTATCCTTAATTAAAAATGTATTGATGTCCCCAACTATTATTGTAGAACTGTATTTCTTCCTTCAGTTCTGTCCATTTTTGCTACACTATGCAGCTCCGTTAGGTGTGCACATACATGTTATATCTTTCTGTATCAAACATTTATTAATATATAATATCCTTCCTTTTGTAACCTTTTTTGCCTTAACTTGTCTCTTGTAACTTTTTTCCATTAATGTCAGATTTGTCTGATACACTTATGGCCCTCCCAGCTCTCTGTTACTATTTGCACAAACTATCTTTTTCTGTCCTTTCACTTCCAACCTATTGGTGTCTTTGCATCTAAAATGAGTCTGGCAGACAGCATATAAATGGATCCTGTTATCTCCCTTAAGCTTGAAAGTATTGCATTCGCTCTTGTTACAGAAAGGTCTGTAAATGCATGATGATAACCAAAATAATAGCCATAGTCAATTTTGCACATTTAGCTCTGACTTCTCCCCCCTTGACACAGTCTCCTCGCTGACACACTGCCAGCGTGTGGCCTCTTTTTCTCATTTTCTACCACAAACCCACATGAGTATCATCACATTGTATAGATGGTAACTGGTGACTCAGTTATCATGCTGTCTGTGTGACTGCCTCCCATGGCAGCCTGCCTCGAGGACAAAACCTTCTCAACCTCCCTCACTCCCAGCTGGACTGGAGCTGGATGCACAGGCACATTAAGGTGTCCATGTGTGCCCTGGCACCAACAACACCCACATTTGCCTTCCAAAGACAGGCCGAGAGGGAAGGCACTTCACCCGGGTCACCTGGTAGGCCTGGTGGCCTTGCCCATCCAGCTCTGAGGGTGGTCTCTTATGCAGTGTCCCCTGGCCCAAGGAGGAAAACTATTGATGGATGATTCTAGTGCTCACAGGGTACTAAATAGCATCTGCATCCAGGGTGGGATTGCCCTCGAGGGCCTGTTCCCAGCTAATAGTGCTCAGATGTGCCTGCTGCTCTGATCCATGTCCCTGAGGTCTGGCCCCAGCTCCCAGCTGGTGAAGAAGCCCCAATTCCTGGGCTCTAGTGAACAAGCACAGGCTCTAGGTTCAAGCCCTACTGGCCCCCATAGTCCTGACGTAGGGTGTGGGCAGCCCCCACTGCCTGCTCGCTGGTGAAGTGGCCCAAATTGGAGAGGGACTGTGGGGACACTCCAGGCATACAGCAGGCTCCCTTGCCCTCTTCACAGGCTTCCCCACATCCTTAAGAGCCCCCACCAACCTTCAAGGAGGGATTGGGGTGCAGTGGTATGGTCTGGGGGCACCTGTGGGTGGTTCTTGCAGGCAAAGACCAAGCTTCGGTGAGTGGGAAGGCCTGACTCTCCCACCCCCGAGAGGGGCCTCTGCACTCCACTCCTGGATTCTCCCCCAAAAGCCACTGCCTGAGGGGTGCTCGGTGCCACCACCCAGATGGGGCTGTCCCGGCATCTTCACATGGATTAGTGTTGCATCTGCAGCCAAGGGCCGAAACTGACAGTAAATAAAATGTCAGTAGCTTTGAAGATAGTTGGCTGCCTCCCTGGAAGGAGCTAACTAAGCCACACAGCTGAGTCTCATGCCAAAGTCTGAACCCTGTATGTCTACACTGGGCATCTGTTTGCTGCAGGGCTTCCTTTCAAGAGCCTGTATGCCTGAACACACACATGCGCACATTCATCTCAGCTCTCAGCTCTCTGGCTTTGCAAAAGTCCCTGCCGTGTTACCCATCAGCTGTGTGACCCTGAGTGAGGCCCTGGGCCTCTGAGTTGTGATGTTGACATCTGCTTCAAGGGGGTTGCAGCCTCCCTGCCTGGGGGTTTCATTCCTACATATGCGGAAATGAAACTGGGCACACGTGATAGAGCACAGTGACACGGGTGACATGGGGTATGAGCCGCTGTGGTGGACGGCCCTACCACGTGGGCTGGATGCCTCGGGAGTATCAACACAGGGAGTCTGTATGGTGTGCCAGGGCAGGGCTGGCCCGAGGGCCACTGCTAACCAGCCTGTATCTTATTTCCAGTTCAGGACCTCAAGGGACTGGGCTACGAGAAGGGGAAGCCCGTCGGTCTGGTAGGTGTCACAGAGCTGTCAGACGCCCAGAAGAAGCAGCTGAAAGAGCAGCAGGAGGTGAGGCCACAGGGGCTCTAAAGGTGCTGGTGGGGTGTTGTCCCACCCCAGCCATGGTCATGGTATATTCTTTCTGAGCCTCCCTGTGCTGGGCGCACCCCACAGTCAGGGGAAAAGCTCCTGGGGAGGCAGGTCCCCTATCAACAGCGTGCCACCCACTGAGGGCTCCTGGGCCCCGAGTCCAGGTCTTCTCCTCTGCAGCTCCTCCCCTCCTGTGCCTCCAAGGCCACTCCTGACTGAAGAGTCTCCACCCCAGTTTCCCTCCCGGTTCCCTCTGGCACCCAGTTCAGGACAGACCTAGCTAGACTGGGTGCGCTGACCCGTGTGAGGGCCGCTCAGTTGGTGGGAGTGGTGTTGGGGTGGGCCCAGCTCAGCAGGGAGTTCTGTGGCCCGGGCCTTGGCCTCTCTGCTGCTGCCCTGTGAAACTCAGGGTGCCTGCCTGTGAGTCCTCAGGTTCAGCTCAGTGCTGTCGGCCAGCAGCCCTGTCGCACCACCCTTAACCCTGCCCAGGGGTCAGGAGCCCACATCACCCTCATTCTGCCCACACTGATAGTGCCCAGATGTGCTGGGTTCCAGGCCAGGTCCCAGGCTCTGGGCAAGGCAGAGAGGGGTCCTTCCTGATCAACACAGGGATTCAGGAAACTCGGAGTACATCCTAATGAAGGACTCGGTGCCTCTTCAGCACCTTCTCCAAGCCCTGCTCACGTGCCTGCCACAGAGAGGGCGCAAGGCAGGAAGTGAGGCCCTGACCTGCACGGGGGAGGCAAGGGGGTCAGCCTGCACACGTGCTGCACAGCCTTGCTCACTGGCGTATGCTGCCCACAGATGCAGCAGATGTATGACATGATCATGCAGCATAAGCGCGCGATGCAGGACATGCAGCTGCTGTGGGAGAAGGCGCTCCAGCAGCATCAGCATGGCTATGACAGTGACGAGGAAGTGGACAGCGAGCTGGGCACCTGGGAGCACCAGCTACGGCGCATGGAGATGGACAAGACTCGGGGTGGGCCAGGGCACAAGTCGCAGGGAAGGGGGGTGCCTGCGGGAAGCTCAGGAGGCCCCGTTCACACACCAGGGTCTTCAGCCCCTTCCTGGCCTGTATGGTCTTGAGCAAGAAACTCAGCCTCTCTGGGCCTCAGTTTCCTGAGTGTTCACTGGCTTTTGAACATGCTGCTGAGCAGGGCTGCCTGGGGGAGCAAAGGCTTGTTTCTGGGTTTCAACCAGCTGCCTTACTCCCCCACGGCCCCAGACTCCCTACAAGACTCCTGCCTGTGCTGTGGGGCCTCCCGGCCCGCTCCCCGCCCTCCTCCTTCCTGTCCTCACCTTTCCTGCTCTCTGGGCAGAGTGGGCCGAGCAGCTGACACAGATGGGCAGGGGCAAGCACTTCATTGGGGACTTCCTGCCGCCGGATGAGCTGGAGAAGTTCATGGAGACCTTCAAGGCCCTGAAGGTGAGCCTGCAGGGTCTCAGCACAGCCCCTGCTGCAGGCCCATCCAGCAGGAGGCCTGCTTGGCATCCTCTTCCTGCTGCCCCCCTCACGGCGGGTGCCTGTGGCAGCCGCACGCCCCCCTTACTCACAGGAGGCATCTGTCTATGACAGACGCCGTCTGTGTGGGGAATTAGCAAATAGCAGCTTAGCTGCGGCTTCAGACACATTTCTGGAGCTTGAGGGAAATTCTGCTTTCATCAGGGCCCAGTAAATGTAGTTTATAGGCAAAATGTTTCTTGGGCAGAAGCCCCCATGGGATGGGCTCTCTGGAACAAGAACCTAACATTCCCCCCGTGCTGCCAGCGCACTGGCACAGCAAGGCAGCTGACACGGCATGCTCCACGCCATTTTTGTGTGTGTGAAACTGTTTAGTATTACATAACGGCAGCAAGGTGCTCATTCCATTGACCACAGCCTCTGTTTAGCACTCTGTGTAACAGAGTAGGGCTTTTCTTTGGTGATCAACCATTAGTCTTTCCTACGGTGGATGAGGCCCATGTGACCTCTTGGACTTGGCCACCAGGGTGCTCAGTGCTGTGTGGCCCTGGGGACCCTGAGAAGGAGCAGCTTGGTTTGTTTGCAAGGAGTTGGACCTGGTCAGGGGAGGCAGGTGGACAGGTGGTCCCAGCGGCCAGTAAATCAGCTGTGTGACCCTGAGTGAGGCCCTGGGCCTCTGAGTTGTGATGTTGACATCTGCTTCAAGGGGGTTGCAGCCTCCCTGCCTGGGGGTTTCATTCCTACATATGCGGAAATGAAACTGGGCACACGTGATAGAGCACAGTGACACGGGTGACATGGGGTATGAGCCGCTGTGGTGGACGGCCCTACCACGTGCGCTGGATGCCTCGGGAGTATCAACACAGGGAGTCTGTATGGTGTGCCAGGGCAGGGCTGGCCCGAGGGCCACTGCTAACCAGCCTGTATCTTATTTCCAGTTCAGGACCTCAAGGGACTGGGCTACGAGAAGGGGAAGCCCGTCGGTCTGGTAGGTGTCACAGAGCTGTCAGACGCCCAGAAGAAGCAGCTGAAAGAGCAGCAGGAGGTGAGGCCACAGGGGCTCTAAAGGTGCTGGTGGGGTGTTGTCCCACCCCAGCCATGGTCATGGTATATTCTTTCTGAGCCTCCCTGTGCTGGGCGCACCCCACAGTCAGGGGAAAAGCTCCTGGGGAGGCAGGTCCCCTATCAACAGCGTGCCACCCACTGAGGGCTCCTGGGCCCCGAGTCCAGGTCTTCTCCTCTGCAGCTCCTCCCCTCCTGTGCCTCCAAGGCCACTCCTGACTGAAGAGTCTCCACCCCAGTTTCCCTCCCGGTTCCCTCTGGCACCCAGTTCAGGACAGACCTAGCTAGACTGGGTGCGCTGACCCGTGTGAGGGCCGCTCAGTTGGTGGGAGTGGTGTTGGGGTGGGCCCAGCTCAGCAGGGAGTTCTGTGGCCCGGGCCTTGGCCTCTCTGCTGCTGCCCTGTGAAACTCAGGGTGCCTGCCTGTGAGTCCTCAGGTTCAGCTCAGTGCAGATGCCGCCAGGCCGGCAGCCCTGTCGCACCACCCTTAACCCTGCCCAGGGGTCAGGAGCCCACATCACCCTCATTCTGCCCACACTGATAGTGCCCAGATGTGCTGGGTTCCAGGCCAGGTCCCAGGCTCTGGGCAAGGCAGAGAGGGGTCCTTCCTGATCAACACAGGGATTCAGGAAACTCAGAGTACATCCTAATGAAGGACTCGGTGCCTCTTCAGCACCTTCTCCAAGCCCTGCTCACGTGCCTGCCACAGAGAGGGCGCAAGGCAGGAAGTGAGGCCCTGACCTGCACGGGGGAGGCAAGGGGGTCAGCCTGCACACGTGCTGCCCAGCCTTGCTCACTGGCGTATGCTGCCCACAGATGCAGCAGATGTATGACATGATCATGCAGCATAAGCGCGCGATGCAGGACATGCAGCTGCTGTGGGAGAAGGCGCTCCAGCAGCATCAGCATGGCTATGACAGTGACGAGGAAGTGGACAGCGAGCTGGGCACCTGGGAGCACCAGCTACGGCGCATGGAGATGGACAAGACTCGGGGTGGGCCAGGGCACAAGTCGCAGGGAAGGGGGGTGCCTGCGGGAAGCTCAGGAGGCCCCGTTCACACACCAGGGTCTTCAGCCCCTTCCTGGCCTGTATGGTCTTGAGCAAGAAACTCAGCCTCTCTGGGCCTCAGTTTCCTGAGTGTTCACTGGCTTTTGAACATGCTGCTGAGCAGGGCTGCCTGGGGGAGCAAAGGCTTGTTTCTGGGTTTCAACCAGCTGCCTTACTCCCCCACGGCCCCAGACTCCCTACAAGACTCCTGCCTGTGCTGTGGGGCCTCCCGGCCCGCTCCCCGCCCTCCTCCTTCCTGTCCTCACCTTTCCTGCTCTCTGGGCAGAGTGGGCCGAGCAGCTGACACAGATGGGCAGGGGCAAGCACTTCATTGGGGACTTCCTGCCGCCGGATGAGCTGG